CGTGTTCAAATTTGTAATTTAGTGCAACAAAAAATATGCATGCTTACGCGTTTGTGTTATATGATAATCGTCATGTACTCCGGCCACACAATGCTACGCATTAGCCTAGTATCATAATTACCCCCGAATTATCACTGATTATCTTTGCGATTGTACCACCGGAATATTCTTTAACCGGCTGATTGCACTAATTCTATTTTAGTTACTGATAGTCTATCGTTGTATTTCTTAATTGAGGTTATGGTGAGTCAATATTTAGGGAAGAAATCACGTAACTGTTATTGTGTTAGGGAAGTAAGGGCCTATCGGTATTAAGGAAAGATGTTGTGTGAAATTATGAGTGGTGCTTGAGTTAAACTGTATCGTATATAGTTTTTCCGGTGGTCTTTAAAAGGGAATTCATTCTACGCGATTTGTCTTGGTTGCGGGACTTTTGCATATATATAGGACCTTTCCATTCGTCTTGGTTGAAGGTTAGGTCATGCCCTCATTTATGAATAAAAACTTGTTTGTTATATAATTGTTGAGTGCTTGTATCACGTATTCTATATTTTATACGTTTGTTTATTTTCTACATATTGCCTCAGGCCTTATATTCCCTCTATTAATGCTTTTATTTTCGTTTACTATCAAATGTTAAACTGGTTAGTGTATGAATAGCTCTCCCCGATAATAACAACGGTTAAAGATGTACACTGTGCATTATTGGGGTATTTCATATACTAAATAATCAAACCTATATGAGGTATCATAATAAAATTTACTAGTGCAGATTTTTTTACGTATTACTGCATTATTTGACAATTCTGTACCCACGTAGATCCTAACTAGACCCCAGCAATGTTATTTAGCCAATAAAATTCAAGACCTATGATAAAAAAAATTATCAATGATCTCAAGGTATCGGTATGTAAATTCAAGAAATCAAACATACTTTATTAATGAAAACTTTTAAAAAAACTTTATTAACATGTAAATAATTCTTTAAAAAGATTATTTGCATTTTGTTCTTGCTGTAGATGCGAATGAGGAACTAATGGAGTGGATTCTTGTTGCTTGTAAGCCATTCTATTTTTGTTTCAAATTTCTTTTAGTTGTTTGTCAGTAAATTGAATTTCTTTTATTTCAGCCGTTGAAAGGCGCGTTTTAGATTGTTGAGTCTCAGCAATCATATTAGGGTGAGTTTTCAAATTCCACTTATTAAATAAGCCCTCAATTTGTTGCTGATGAATAATAATATACCAAATCTTGGTTTTGACAAAGTCATAGAGCTGTGGACATTGGTGCAGTAAAACTGTTGAATCATTAACAAATAAGTTAAATTCTTGAAGAAATGATTCATTAGTTAATGCATCTTTAAACCCAAACTCATTAAATTTTTCTTCCATAATGTCTATTTCAAGAGACTTTGCATAACAAAGCTCTGTTAAACTAGGAACTTCGGGCCAAGGTTTTTCAAGAACAATATGCCAGTAGCTACATGCAAATTTCTTGGCATTATCTCCACCAAGATAACACATACTTAAGGGAAGGTGAAGCCAACAATTTAACCATTTCTGATGTAATTCGAGTCCTTTTTGGATTTCTTGTTCTAACTTTTGAACTAATAATTCAATTTTTGAATTGTCCATAACTTTTGTACTCTGCAGAAGTTCACCACCAAAAAATAGGTAAAGGTTTTCTATAATACTCATGAGCTCATGTGTTGAGTTAATAACAAAATCTGGCATTTGATGAGCTCGATGACCAGGTAGCAAACATCGTAATAAATTATCAGATTGAACAACCCATGGTTGAGAATCATAGCCAACGAGAAATTTAGCATATGGGTGGTAAAATTCTTGGCCAAATTTAACTAAACATTGTATTTCAATATTTAGTTCATAATCATTTAATCAATTTCCATTTTTCAATATAAGAACGTAGAGCTTTTTTTAGAGTCCTTAGTCTTGGAAGAAACCACAAAACAAATTCTATATGAATTTTATGCCTCTCAAGGTATTGTTCAGTGGTGATTAATTCATATTGCCATTTTGATTATAGAGGATGTTGATATTTAGTCAGTTGATAATTAAGCTGCGCTTTGTAGAGACTATATATCATCTCACTTCTCATATTTAATGGTAAATCTTTATCACTTTGGTCATATCCGTTATGCAACATCCAAGCTAAGTATAAAAGATTAAATAGATGCTGTGTCTTGGAAAATCCAGTGCATGTAGGAAGTTTACCAAAGGTGGTTTCTTCAAAATTATTTAAAATTAAGTGTAATATATGCAATCCACAAGGAATTCAGATACAATTACTTTTAGCTAATATATTAAATTTTGTTACAGCACCTCCAATATGACCACTCATATAGTTCGTGTTATCAGAAAGAAAGGTAAGACATCGTGAAGTATCTAAATTATATTTAGTACAGTATTTAATAAGAGCTTGACTAACTGTATTGGAATTACTGCATCGAAGGTCTTTGTTTCTAAAAGTACAGCATCTGGTATATTTTTTGCCGAATTCCAAAACATGAAACAATTTACTAATATTTTTTTTCACCTCGACCTGACTCATCTGTCATAATTCCTAACGTAAAATGAGTCGACTGATTAGCCTGATGAAATATATCTTGAACATGTAATTCTGACACTTCACGATGCCAACAGCTAACAGTTGCAGCAGAGATTCAAGATTGTTTATTGTCTCCTGTCAAAAATTAAAAATAGTCTTCATACTAGCCACCGTGGCAGTAAAGGACATTTGGCCAATTTGAGAAACTTTCATTGCAAGTTTAATAAAATTTGAGTTATATTCTTTTTTATTTTCTTTGACTAAATTTTTAATTACGGTTTTTATATTATTGTTCTTTAATTCTGGTGGATGTCTGGCTGCTGCATGAATATAAGATATATATTGTTGATGTTTGCGCCTAAATTGCACAAGAGAACCATTGAGCTTTCAAACTTTAAGAGTTATGCGGTTATTAGTTCGTTGCAACTTTCGTATATTTTGATTAAGTTGCTTGTTTTGATGATTTAATGATCCAGTGACTTCCCAGGTTTGTAAAGAGAATCTGATATATAATGAAATGCTTTGTTTTGCATATAAGGAGATATAATGTGATCTTTATTTTTTCTATATAGATATCTCATTGTGCGTAGAAGATGAAATACTGATTTGTAATCTGTTTCAGGTATGTCTTGAAGAGAATTGGTAACTGTGTTATGCAATTTAGAAGAATTAGATTCATTTGGAATATTAAATATTATATTATGTATCATTTTAAGTTTTTGTTCAGTGATTTTATTAAGGTATTTTATTATTTTATTAATAATTTTCTTATGTTGAACTAGGCTACGCTTTTCTACTAAGGATTCAAGCACATTTTTCAATTGTAAACTACGTTTTGAAGATTTAGGCATGATATATAAAAGGTTTAGTATTAAAATTAAAAGATACTTCTCAAAGTTATGCTTTTAGATCTTTATTTATAAAGACAAATTTGAACTAAGCCAACCAATTATTTTTTATAAACTAGCCTTTTGATACCTTGTATTAGAGTGTTCAGATTTATGCGATTTCAGAGATTTTTCTATATTTGAACAATGAATATTCCCCAAAATTGCATAAGTTTGGACACTCTACTTTGCGTTTAGAGGACAATAAGAAAGGTTTGCATATATAGAAGCATAGAATTTTATAAGTCACTTTCTTATCTATTGCCTTATTACAGATCATTCGTGAGTATTTCATGATTTGTTGTATGAATCATCACATAAAGACAATTATTATTTTGGATTTAATGGGATTTCTATTGATCTTTTTTTTTGATAGACAATAAACTTACCAATCCTGCCTGCATATTATTTTAAGTATTAGTGCATGAGAGTCTCTTATACGTTCAATTTATTATTAGAGTATGTTATTTTGAAACAAAAACTTACTGATAACTTGGTTTTTGAAATAATGCTTATTCAGGCACAGAACTTAAATAAAATCAATAGAGCTCAATAGCTACCCATCCATTGAGGATCTCTACTTTTTTTCACCAAACAATTACAACTTTCTATCTGGAGTAAAACCAATTACATTTCAAGATTAGGTGTAACATAACACGATTAAGAAAATTCAAAACAAACATTCGGTTTGTCAAAAAATGTTTATTTATTGAAAAATTTCTTTAACCCTAATCTTAGCATAGATCCTAACACTAACCTAAACGAACTTTAAAAAATATTTTGCCGCATTACACGTGATCATGTGCTGGCGAAAATTTGGCAGCAATTTAGGGGACGATAGTGAATTATTTTTGCAATTGTGAAAATAATTCTCCTACATCACTAGATTATCAAATCTACTATTTATAACCAATTTGCCAACCTTGTATTCAATTGATTATAAGTGGGTGCGTATTGATATAAAAACTTATTAGACAATTTTTAATTATTATCTCCTAAAGATTATCAATATATATATATATAATTAGGGTCAGTCAGCACCGGCCAAATTAGCTACAAAAATCTATACAATTACATATGAAAGTAACATATATTCTTTCACGGCAAAATCAGGATTTGGAGACGATTTAACTAAAATTTATTTGCAAGTATATAATTATTGATATATATCTAAATTTATCATAACAATCAAAATTCAATTAATCATATTTATCAAACAATCAAAATTTGATTAATCATTAATATTTACAAATCAAAAAATCGTCTCTAAGCTCTGAAAGAAGATTTTCCCAGGGCGGCCACCTCAAAATTCGCCAATGATTATTGTTACTGCTGCAAAATCAATCAATCAACAATCGATTAATTAATTAAATGCTGCGGTAGCTGCAATTGTGATGGTGAACTTTGGGTTGCAGAACAGCACTAATTATGTATAAATAGTACATTAATATCATAGATATGTCTTAAGAGGAATGTATATTTATTTGTATTCTTATATAATAACCTCTATTTTTTCTAATTTTTTTTAATTTTTTTTACTTCACAAAAATGCCACTGAGACGACCGCACAAAAGCAATCTTAGAAATTCTTATATTTTAAAAATTCAAAATAGAGAATGTAAAGAACTTCTCGAATTAACTAAGGAATATCGAAGGCGAATCAATGCACAAGCTCGGGAATCTGAATTAGAAAAATCTAAATCAAATAATGTCAAATTAGAAAATAGTGATAATGTTAAAATAGAAAAGAAAGAAACACCCAAGTTGGGTTAATAGTAAGTAAAATCTTTGTTTTTGGAATCATAACTTGTGTTATATTTTCTTTAGTTCAGTTAATAAATCCTTGCTCTTTTTTATTAGCACCTCTTGTAATATATTGTCACAGTTTTCTGTGACGCTTGTCTTTTTTTTATTTTATTTTTTTATAACCGATGTTAGACGAATTTTTTTTGATTTTTGTATAAATATACTGTATATTCAATAAATAAGTTTTATATACTATAAGTTATTAAAAATAATTATAAATAAAAAGATTCACAAAACAAGATTATTTAAATTTAAAGCTATTTATATGTTATTAATAAAGTCCAACTTATGTTCAAACTTTTTTAGTGAAGATTATTTTTGGCATAAATTTTTGTATTATACATATTGGATAAAGCAAAAAAAAATTTGAAAGAGTTGATATTGTGAATGTTGATTGATTTATATACTGATCACGCACTAATCATACTAAAATCAATAACTTATCAAATTTAGCAAATTTTTTTAGTGTTTTAAAATTTATAAAAGAAAATAACTTAACTGAATTAGCTAAAATTTGTATAATCTTAAGAATATTCATAGATTTTTGGTTATTGTTATAGAGAATAGTACCATATCAATATACAGTCAAACCTCTTTAAGTACACGCCTTTTGGACTACACTTTAATAATATGCATATAGAGAATAATAAGAAAAAGTGCATTTATAGATATTAAGTATATATTTGGGCTGGCACTTGAGCGTGCATTTAGAGAGAGTGTGCACTTATAACTTAGAAAGGTCTAACTATATGTTAAATTAGCAATGTAAAACGATTGTAAAAGTATTTAATATTAAAAGCTAAATGAGCCCAATTTGGATAAACTATCGAAATTGGTATGCAGTTTGTCAGGTTGTATGAATTTGTAACAAGAGTGAGCAAAAAAAGAATTCAGCATTTAAACTACCTTAAAAACTACAATAAAACTCAACAGATAACATCGTTAAAAGTGTCTTTTTAGATTACAATGCGAAATTTTCCATCACAAAAGCAGATTTATAACAACTACACATTTTTTTTTATGAGAACATATATAAAATAACAAAGAAAATGTTTCTTTTAATGCAATATTTAAAAATATCTAATTAATAAAAAATTTTCATTTGTAATTTTTTTTTTGATGCTATTTCTACTGTTTTCCATAAAAATTGTCAAAAAAATTTAATTAGTACATGAGGTGTATCAACTTTTGTGTCCTAATAATTTACTAGTAAATTTCTTTAATGATTCGCCAATCATAAAATCTGTTATTAGTGTAATTATTATTGCATCTCACATGATTTTGATTAATTAGTATATGAAATACCCCAATGAGACATGTCCAATATCCAATATTCAAGATTGTTCAAAATCGTCCAAGCCTATGTTTCAAGCTTAAATAATCAATAAAAAATATATAATTATATATTTTTTTAAGTACTAGACTCATTTATAAAAATATTAAAATAGATTATCTTAATAAAATTTTGAGTAATTTTAATTTGAAAAATTATTCAAAATTGTTCAAAATTGTCTCATATACAATACTAATTACTAGGTTGAACCAAAATTTTGGTGATTATAAAAAGTTGTAACTAAATAAAGGTCAAAATTTATATGTTTTATAATAGCTAGATTAAAAAATAGTGTAATTATTGCAAAATTGTGACTATATTGTAAGTGAATATAATAAGATCAGACTGTAGTTTGTTTTTATTATTAAATTATACAAAATCTAGATGTTATAAATTAAATTTTATTATTAAGTAATAGTTAAAAAATCTTTATTTTAAGTTTAAAATAATTTTTTATTACAATTTAAAAAAATAGCTATAGTAAAATTTTTTTAAAGCTTTAAATAAATTTTTTTTAATAATTAATACAATTTAATATAAAAATTTTATTATATAATAATTTTTTTTTCTTTAATAATCTTGTACAAATTTATTAAATTATTTTTAAACTTGGCTCAAGTTTTATATTCAATATACATATTTGGCAATACCTAGCTATTTAGAAAGTGCCCAAGTATGGTTATCACACTGATATTTACTAACAGAACTCATATATATATAGCTTTCGATATAATAGAGACCATGGTTTTAGTCCTTTGCTCCGTTATATCAAAAGCTTTACAATATCAAAATCTCATAATATATTAGATTATAATAAAAAATAAATCTCTACTATATCAAGATTTTTTTTTAAATACAAAAACTAGATATATCTTTTACTATTTAACTTTGCTAGTTTTTAATAATTTACACTAGCTAGATATTTTTCAAAGTGTAAAAACACTATTTTTTAAATATAATAGAATAGTATTTAGGTATAAATCAAATTTTTATTACCAGAGAACCCGGTAAACTTATAGGGAATCTGTGTCTTAATCATCAGCAAAAATATATATGTATAAACTTTCATAAGTTTTTACAATGTATAAGAAAATCGTAAACTTATATAAAATTTAGTGTAAAACTACGTAAATCTTACGGTGCATAAGAAAATCATAAATTTACGTAAAAATTTTATGTAAATTTATGAGTTTCTTATGCACCGTAAGATTTACGTAAACCAATATAAAATACTTATATAAATTTACGATTTTCTTACGGTGCGTAAGAAAATCGTAAATTTATATAAGAATTTTACGTTGGTTTATAATTTTCTTACGTACTGTAAAAACTTACGAAAATTTACGGAAGTATATAAAAATTTATAAATCCTAAGATTTAATCTCAAGAAAAATAAAACTATTTACGAAACTTTTAAAGATATATAAACTATTTTTTATAACTTCGAGAACTTACGAAAGTTTACAAAAGATTTAAATTTAATAATTTTTTTTTTTAAATAACTCAATAACTGAATAAGAACTT